AATAGGATATTGAAACACTTTATTTTTCTCACTGCAAAGTAGGGCTGGGCGATATGGACCAAAACTTATATCTCGATATCTTTTTGCTGAATTCCGATATACGATATATATCTATTATTCCTCCTGTAAAATATTTACAAGTTAACTCATTTCAAGCTGTCTTGAGAAATTATACATAAATCAGTAGATTAAATGCATACAAATGTATTGATTCTTGTCAAACTTTAACCTTAGTGTCTATTCTCTGCCAGTCTGAGCTTTAGAAACACAGGTACAACTGTCTGCTAACACACACACACACACACACACACACACACACACACACACACAGTTGAGAGTTAGAGATGAGAGTTAGAGGTGTATCAAATGTCCCACAGGCATGTTTTAATTACCGTAAATCCTCCTAATACAGGCCCGGGCCTGTATTTGACTCAAGCTCATCAAGCTCCAGGCCTTTATTGGAAGGACGACCAGAATTAGAGGCAGGCCTCAATTTCTATTTGAGCAAAATGAACTAATGGTTCGCTAGAGTTTTTGACAATTAAAATTGCGCCCACATTTTCAAAGTTAAACACATTTCTTTTAACAACGGTAGTTTCTGCTTCTGCCCTCTCCCCCCTCCCCCTGCGCAGCGGCCGCAAACTCACTGATGCGCCTGCAGCCCCTCGGAGTTCCTGCTGCTCTAAACATTAAAATAATTATTTCATTTTCTGTTCCTCACTTCTGATTGCCTTCAATGGTGTCTGTTTGTTGCAACCACCAGGTACAAAAACTAACTTGTTTTTATTTGACTATTTTTCTGTCCTGTCTGTTTATTATCCTCCTGCATCTCCTCTCAATCCTAAAGAAAAACTGCTACCTGGGTTCATATATATTCACCTTTTGAGTTACCTTTGAACTGCAGTTCTAAAAGATCTACCGACCGCAAAAACAGCGGAGTGCTCGCCGGCTACATCAGTTAGGTGCGTCACCGAGGACAAAACAGGTGATGTGCCCTGCTCCACAGCAGCAAAATGCATCAGGCACAACTAAAAGAATAAAAGACAGAAAACATAAAAGGAAACGAGCCGACATGAACGATCGCGTGTTAAATAAATTTTTCAGGTGGCGACACCTGATTTGATAATGTTACTGTGGCCGTGCTCAGGACGCAGATGTCTGGAGCGCGTCAACAATCAGAGCTTTGCATGTGCAAGCTGGTTAAAGTTAGGATGGGGGTGAGGGGAAGGTTAAATTGCAAGAGGGTAAACGTCACAATTTGGTTAAATGTCCATTTTATAAATGTCCGTTTTACGGCGGGTGTCGGTACCAACGCTCTGGCACAGCACGTTGCCTCCCGACGCGTAGGAGCTTGTCACCTGCTGACAGCAGGCTGCTGTCTTTTCAGTGGACTGCATCTTGCCGGTCATTATCACGTGACAGCGACTAGTCGATGACAGGCATAAAAAGTCGCTATAGAGCAGTGAAGTCGACCAGTGACTAGTTCATACAACCCCTACTGACCTCCAGAGTGTTCTGCAGCATAATCAGCACGTTCTCTTTGAACTTGATATCAAATTTTCGCCTCCTCTTCGTCTCCGCACCTGCCAAGGTTAAAGTTACCCTCGCGGTCTATCACTGGCAAATCAAAAGTGAGACAGACGACACAACCCCCCCCCCCACCCCCACCCCCCCACCCCCGTGGTACTTGCTTGTTACCACATTCCACCCGGCCACAATAAAAAAAAAACGGCCATTATTCACCTCCGCCGACTCCGACACTGGCCACAATGTGATACCCGGCCGTTAATTGAATACAGGCCAATATTAGAGGATTTACGGTACATCCTTTTACTAAATAAACTTAAGTGCCTCTATCTATTCATGAATCAAAGAAAAGCACACTTTTAAGTTGATGCCAAAGCTGTTTCAAACAAGCCATCTTTGTTTTGCTCAGTTGTAACATCCCGACCACTAAACCAATAGAGTGTTGTGACTGGCGCACCACCAGGCTGGTCTGGGCTGCTAAGGTTCAAATGGAGCATAGCTAGACCAACATGAAAAATCATTTTGCATGTGCTACGGCCTGACTAGATTTCTAGGCTAAGTTACACTAGGTCTGGGACTAAAACCTAGCAGAAAACCTATTTCTGCTGTTACATAATGTGAAACTGGGAAGACTGTGGGTGTTTCTCCATTCCAAGGAACCTCACCTTGAAGTCTTTGAGATACTAGGAGTAGGAGATACTAGGAGATACGTCATCAGGAGCTGCCAAGACGTGTTCCAATGTTCATGTTCTACCAAGGCGTGTGTTCTCTGTTTGTTAGCTGTTTAGATAGCTGAGCAAGGATACACGGGAGGTGTCTTACAGCCTAGCCTTGGTCAAAAATTTCCCAGAATACAGCGCTGTATTTTCAAAAGGATGCTGGATCAGATGCCCGCAGCTACTTTGGGGTCAAATTTCAAGTTTAAATGTAAGTCAACTCATTTAAAATGTTTTTTTTACATCCAATGAAGTTATCTATGGTTTGTTAGTTTGCTTACTAGTTGTAGCTTAAGTGGCTAGCGGGTAGTAACTCGCTTATTTATTCAATTTAACAATTATACACAATTTAAAAAGTAAAAGGCTCGTTATATATTTATATTGAAACCATACGTATAAAATATAACGCAATCTCCCGTCTCATGTAATGCTACGTGACCATCATGGAAGCTGCAGTCATGTGATGCAAGTCTGTTCCATTTAACTGTTTTATTCAACCAAGGAAGGACAGTGGCCCCGTGAGCAAGGCGCCAAGCCTCGCAAGACATCGCCTCGCAAGGCCTGGCGCCTTGATATTGAGAAACACCCAGTGTTTATTTTTCTAGAAAACAAAATCAACTGTAGAATATATCATGTAAAGACCAGGTTTACTCTTTATTTCAATACATTTGCTATGGTCTCTAGTATAAATGAATGTCGTTTGAGAAGTTATCTGTGGAAAAAAAACCTTGCACACCAGGTTCAGGAAATTGAAGTTACACAGAGCAGAGGGGACCTTCAGACGGAAAGTTTTGGCATCTTATTTACTCATTTTTGGACATCCTGCCTCTGATTTGCTAGCAGCAACACAACTCTACCACTGATTTTTTGCTTTTCCACATTGATGTTTTATCTCCACAAATAACTCAAGCCTGAAGGAGTTCTGCTGTGTGGTGGAGTTGCTGACGCTAATGGTTAGCTTCCACTAGTGAAGCAAAGCTCTGCTCTCTCCTGGATGTTAAATACAGCCTACCATGTAGCCAAGACGTGAAACTTGAAAAATTTTGAATATGGTCCAAAAATTCCAATGCTTAATTAAGAAGCACTGCCCTAATTCACCTTAGACTGAGCCACCAACTAAAGTGTCAGGAAACCTTTGCAGGTGTTTTGGAATCATTAGCTGATTAGAGTGACACTTTGAGACTAGAATATTTAACCTTTTCACAATATTCTAATTGTAAGTGTGTCTCCTATTTTAGTATCCCCCTTTAAGAACTGCACAAATAAATGAACTCTTGCATGATATTCTAATTTTCACCAGTAGATCTGTGAGGCTTTTACTGACACAAGCATTCCCCCGTCCATTTTTTATCGGAAGCTAATGCAGGAAATGGGGGTTGAAGACCATTTTCACGCTCAGCCTGAATCTGAAACTAAGTAAAAATGGGTCCTCACTGTACTTGCTCCTTAAGAAAACAAGTTTTTTGTATTTAGTTTACAATCTCAAATGTTGGGACACTTAAAGCTTCACTGACAAATTTGGAAAACAAATAAGCCTAAAACACATTTTAATGCATTTTAACGATGTTCAAATATATAGGATTTCTCGCATTTGTCTAAAAACCTTTACCAATAACATGTTTCAGACCAAATGCAACTATTGGACCCTCCGGTTGTCTGTCTCGCCGAAACGCCACACTTCTATGGGTCCTCCATTTATTACGCACTCATGTATTTAGCAGCAGAACACAGCTGGTGTGAGAAGTTAGGGACTCAATAATATTAAAGAAGTAGAAACAACCAGCTGCTGCCACTTCAACTTTAGGACAAACTACCAGAGTCCCAAAAGGAAAAATATAATTTCAAGTCAACAAAAGACATTTGGACGTGGAAAATGGCAACTGATGTTTCGTGCTATCTCACTTCATCCGGCATCGCAGGTCTCTGGGTTCTGGCAGAAGCGTCTCGGGGGGGAAACCAAAGGGAAGGGGTCCACGACCGTGTGTGTGTTCAAAATTTATACTTTTGGTTTTTTAACATTTAAATCTAATTCTGAAAGACAATAAGTGTGTTGAACAGCATAAAAGGGTTGTTGGAGCTGAGAAAGGGCCTGATGAGGTATTTATGCAGCTGAGTACATCACAGCATCATTGGCAGAGAAAGGAAAGTTAGTTTGATAATGCTGGGTGCCGATTGTTAAAGTTAAAGTCCCATTAGTTGTCACACACACAGGTGTGTGTGCAAAATTTTTTCTCCGCATTTGACCCATCCCCTGGGGGAATGGTGAGCTGCAGACACAGCCGCGCTCGGGAACTATTTGGTGGTTTAACCCCCCAGTCCAACCCCTTAATGCTGAGTGTCAAGCAGGGAGGCATTGGGTCCCATTTTTTCAAAGTCTTTGGTATGACCCGACCAGGAATCAAACCCCTGATCTCCCAGTCTCAGGGCGGACACTCTACCACTATGTACTGAACAAATGGGGAGGTCCCAGATATGATCCCTCAGGCAAACATTTAGGTACATGAAGCTGGACGTGATGCCTTCTGCCTTCATACACTGAGGTTTGTTGGGCAAGTAGATTTTAAACCAGGTGAGGGCATGTTCTGAGACTCAATAGGTGGACTGGTCCACAAGCCTTCTCTTTCTGGCCCCCGGACCGGACCTTTCACTCTGTTAAAATATACCACTACCAAACTGTCATAGTGCCGGCTATACGTATTCTAACAGCACAACCCCCCACCCCTAAACTTGTAGGTATGAAAAAATTGTTACTTTTACCTCAATGAGTTTGCGTTCGTAGCTGGCCGCCAGCTCCTCTACGTCACCTATAAACTTATTCTGCAGGATGGGGGCCTGGTCTTCACTGGACTGCAACACTGACAAGGCTGCAGGACAACAGACACAAAAAATAAGAGTGGTGAGTAGATGCAATGAACTGCATCATCAGTCAATATGCACATCACTTGCAAAAACAGATGACCGTATATTTTTTAATTAACGTCACAGAAGAAGACCTGAAATTATTCTTGCAGGAAAGAGAGGGGTGCGTAAGAAAAACAGCACAGAGCTGCTCACTGTTTTCCCCCCCAAGTAAAAACACTGTTCTGTCAGAATGATAAACTCCTCTTCACTCACCCTTGGTTTGTTTACTCTAACTTCCTGTTTAGAGGGAGTTTATTGTTTCTTTGCACAAGTGTCGCTCACTAACTGGCTAAAGTCATCCCGTCGCAGCCTGAAGCGGTGCTTCCAAACTCATAAACATCAGCTAACCCAGTTCCCTTCAAAACAAATGGCAGAACTTAGCAACCCTCTTTCACATGGCGGGTGTAAGATGGATTGTTTTTCACCTTTGAAAAAGCAAATAAACTCTTATTTCACTGCCTCCACACAAAGCCAACACTCAGGGAAAGAAACTTCCTGGGGATGGATAGAGGGTGTTATGGTCAAGGAATAAAAGAAACTCAGCAAATCCAAGAGTGCCATGGAGCTCAAATAGGCTTGTTGTGATGTCTGTTTGGGGAGACGTTTTAGAAAACACACAATCTGACTGTGATTAGACAGAGTAGGACCCCAGCAAGAGTCTCTAAACAGAATCAAATAGGTAAGGAAGAAGGAAGCTGATAAAGGTCCAGAAAAGAAAAGCTGATGAGAATCATAAATCAACTTCTGCAGGTCTGAGACGTTCCACCCAAACCTCAATGTCAAAATAAGATTTTGATTAACAGGAATGAGTTCAGAATCGAAACGCAACAATGGTTCAAACTAGGTTGGGTTATTTTGACTGCTCTGCTTAAAGATTATTTGGAACCAGCATTATGTTTTAGTGTTAGTATTTGTACTTGTACCCCGTGATGTCCACCCTATATGTTTTCAAAGATCCACTACGGTATACATTTAAGGACTTGGTCAAATACGATTCCTATTTGTATAAAAGCATGACCTTGAGTGGATTCAGTTGAAATGGGAAAATTACACTCTAAAATAAATGACTTGATGAGTGGTTTTGAATCAAACACCATGTAAACCAAAGACAATGGGCTCAGATCTTGAGCAGTAATTTGATATCCATCATTTCACTAGTAATCACAATTGTTGAACATCAATATATCCAAACTTGCAGACTCATCATTCATGGAGTTTTCATTTTTGGATGGTGTTGACATTTTTAAATTAACTTTGTAAATTTTACTCCATCGTCCTGTTTTATTTTGGTAGTTTCTAACTCTCTGTAGCTGTGGCTACATTGTAGCTCATCCCCACCAGCGTGTGAATGTGTGTGTGAATGGGAGGGTGAATGATTGTGTTGAAAAGCGCCTTGGGGGGTTGTAGAACCCTAGGGTGCTATACAAATCCAGGTCATTTACCACAGATGAACATTTCAGATTCAATAAGAATGTTCTTATGGATATCTGGAATGATAAATAAGACTAGGAACAACAGAATTATGCTTATTTGGAATACATATGCAGTCTACCTAATAAATGTTAAAAAGGCCATCTTAGGGTTTTAAGGATTCTGAGATATCTCAAACGTATTTCCCATTAGCGCAGTTGTTATTATGGATTTCCTTAGTTATAATTTCTACAACACTAATGTCTTCATTTGCAAATTTGACCTTTAAGAATATGATTCTTAAGAATACAACTCGGATAAATTAAAATATTGCTATATAATACAGGACTAAGGACTGAGGTCCAATTGCTGATTAAATGTTAAACCAGCTTGACATAGACCAGCTCACTCTATGCGTGTCCTGCTCAAAGAGATAAATACAGTCCTGCTTTCACTCACCTCCTCACCTTTCTGAAGAGCTATTCATTTTTCTTTCTTCCTCCTTTACAGGTTTGTTCCTACCAATATTTACCATATTCATTATATTAATGACATAATTTTCCCAAGCATTGTGCAAACGCCACCCACTCCCTCCTTCCAGTGTTTGGAAGTACGTGTGAGTGGTGCTGTGCCTTCGAACTGGAGGCATGCACGCATGTGTGTTCATTTTTACTGTTTGTATCATCATCATATTTTACACTGAAACCAAAATGCTCTCATACATGCAACTAAAACGCCGCTTTTCTCATTTGGATTGAACAGGTGATACCTTGGCTTTCTACTTGACCAATCTGCATACCACGTGCTTGCAGAATCCTAGATCTGTATGGATCAAAGATTAATGATGATCCATTGCACCCCTACCATGAGGTCTGTTTCAAAATCTCAATGGAAAGTCCAGCACCCTAAAAGGATTAAAATAACCAATCTGAAACGTCCATCTGCATCCTACATGGTCTCCGTGGTACAATGTGGACATCTACTTCAATATCAGTCTCTGGCTCCAGAACGAGGCTTCACCGTATTTTGGTCGTCCATCTTTAAAATGCTTACTAACTTTGGTGGGCATGTGTGTTTCCAAGGATGCTTTCTTCTAATTGGCTGTCTTCATCATGGCCCATGATGCTTTGCGGGTTACATCATAAATGGGTGGAGCTCACACAGGTGGAGGTGTGATTTCACTGAATCCAAGCATTTCATTTCCTGTCACCAATACAGGCTGACAAAAATAACTCATATTTAAGATAAAACACATTTCAATAGTGACAATGGTCCAATTTTATCATCAATTGTGCCTACCTTTGCTCTCAAAGGTTTAAAATAGCATGTGGATCAATTACTCCTACATTTCTCCCAGGCCTGTAACACAATGGGATTTGTACTGTTTACCATCACAAACATACTTCTAATGTTTTGTGAAGTCCTACAACAAGTGCCTAAAATCTCACCAAGATCGTGCAAAAACTTCCAATGTTCTGCCACTGTGTCTGTGAGCATTTTGGGCTGTTAGCTTTAAGAAGATGTCAGGCGCCAGGCCAGAGATACGAAGAGAGAGAGTGTGAATACATTTTTTAGCCTCTGTCAATCTGGAACCTAAACAGGCATTCTCAGGAGGAAGTCCTCACCAGAAGGTTTCAAATTACAAGTGAAATAATATGTCCATGTGTTAACAGACATCCCCACCTATTGTACTTGGAAATTAGTGAGTTTTTCTTGACTAAGCCATGTGTTGAAATAAGGTGGTAGAACCTTAAGGAAACTTCTAAAAAGAAACCACTTCGACAAGGTTCCGCTTTTAAGTGTTGATTTTCAAGAGTGTGGGTGAAGTTTAGAAGGTTAAAAAAATCCTGAAGATAAAAGACCACTGAAAGTCTTTCCTGAATGATGAGATGCAGCGCTGAAAAGCAAGTTGCATACGTCTCTTAAATTAAAATTCAATTTTAAGCCTTTATTGAACTAGAATTGGACATGGACAATTCATGGATAAGATAAAAAATATTCTCTCACACAGACTCCCACTTCTAAGGAGGCTGACATGATGCATTATGATGGCTTCTGCAAAGGACCTGCAATCCCCAAGCTTATCTCAGGCCCATCCATTACAGTGTGAAGCCCAACAACCAAGGAAACTACAGCACACAAACATGCCTGCATGCACACAGTCACAAAGAATGATGCCATAAAATTCCAGAAAAATCGACTTCCTCTGTGAGCTACAAGTCCTACGAAAGATGCACAAAAAAGAGCAACAACATAAAGATGGTAAACCAACAGAACCAACCTGGGGATTGCGGACTATCTTTAGTATGATACCACTATACCTCAGATCTTATTTTCTTCTCCCCTTTCAGTAGAAAATATGGTGTTGTTAATATTGATATACTTGAGATGATGAAACTATTACAAACACAGGAGTCAATGATAAAGGAAAAACAAAAAGGACAAAGAATAGGATGATAAAGAAGGAGAAAACCACACCCTTGTGTTTTTATGTATTTATATGTTTATTTATTTATTTCAGGGAATTGGGAAGAGAGCTGTTCTGAAAATGCAGAAAAACACCAGCTCGTTGTGTAGAGGTAAAAACCATTTAAGAATAATTTGGGTGACCAGGTAAATGGTAAATGTGCCTTCTAGAGTCCTGGAACCCCCCAAGGTGCTTTACAACACAATCATTAACACACCCATTCACATGCTGGTGGTGATGAGCTACATTGTAGCCACAGCTGCCCTAGACCACACTGACAAAGGTGAGTCTGCCATACACAGACGCCACTGGTACCTCCAACCACCACCTGCAGGCGAGGTTGGTTAAGTGTCTTGCCCAAGTACACAACGTCAGCAACAGACTAAGTGGGGCTTGAACCTGCAACCATCCGATTACGGGCAAGCACTTAACTCCTGGGCCACTGTCGTCAAACAAAGTGTGAAAATATTAAGAAACACAGCTAAAAAAAACTCTGCTTCCCACTTTCCTGCCAGCTGCAGGTTCAACATAAGGCTGCTGGAGAATAGAACTACAAAGCAGTGCAAGAATCTCCACTGTTAATGATGGAGATGGCTGTACAAGGAATCCTGGGATTTGTAGTTTTAATGGCTGCCTCTCACATTTCAGAGGCTAGGTTATCTCGGAGACATCTCTACTGCAACCACTGAACATTCTCCCTCTCCTGCTATTAACTTTTTTACTTTTTGATCATATAATGTGATACTTCTAGCTAATCTGTTTATTTCTGCTAAAGGTTTCTTCCTGTTAAAGGGGAGTTTTTCCTCTCTACTGTCACTACACACATGCTAAGGGACAACAGAGTGAATGCTACATGTCAGTGACTCAATGCAATCTGCAGGGTTTCCTTGGAGGAAACACTGTTAACTAACTATGAACTGAACTCAACACATTATTTAGTAGGTTCAATTGGAATGCTTGCTCTGAAAAGGGCCTTGAGATTACTTGTGTAATGAACTGGTGCTTTAGAAATAAACTCAATTTAATTGAATTTGTGTTTTATTTTCATACTTTGTTCATCATACAGTTTAGGCCAGGGCTATTCAA